CACATTAGGAGAAATGATAAACTAGGAAAACAGGGAGTGCAGGAACGGACACACAACACCGGATGGAGGCATACACTAGGAAAACACAAACCCTATAGAAGACAGAAACTAATCAATATGGAGAACACAGGACATAAACACAACACAAGATACCATACCATACCATTTTATTTATAGAGCACTTAAAACAGCGAAAAGGCCAACCAAAGTGATGTACAGACAGACCAAAAGGTAACACACAAGATGGGACTAAAGACCAAGACACAAACCACAATTCCTACAGTTTTAAGGATGCTGTGGGGGAAAAGTCCCAAGGTGCAGACTAGGAGGAAAGAACTGAGTAAACTGAAGCTTTAGTCCAAAATAAACTGTACTGGCCACAAAACAACCCAAAAACTACAGGAACTAAAGTGCAGCAACAAACCACAGAAGAGCAGCAAGGAGAAAAACCAGAGCTGAAGGTGAACAGGCAGTGTAAGTATACAGGTAGGGGAGATTCCTGAATGAAGATGAGCCTAATGAACAGATGAACAGGTGTGAATGATCAACAGAAGGTAAAAATGACTGATAGAAACAATGGCCACCGACACGGAAGCGACAGGAAAACTTGTGAAAAATAATAAAATGTCCAAATGAAAACCACGACTGAACTTATATCAAAGAGCAGAAATAAACTTAGCCCTTAGCTCACCAGTGATGTCAGAATTAAACTCTACTTCTCCAATTCGAGGCTGTTCAAAGAGCTGTCTACAACAGGTAAGATATTAATTATTTATATTTTTTTAACAGAATTTTACCTCAAAAGATCTAAACTATCCCTTTAAGGCATTAAGCAACTGACACTTTGACAAGTATCAAAGCTTGTGAATACATCAGAAGCAGCGTCATGCTTCAGTTCTTGTTCCAGAGATTTCCATCCGTTCCTCATGTCCAAGTGTTGTAGTTGTGTAAGAGTTTTCTCTCCAAAAGTCTACGTGGAGTTGGCAAAACCTTCAGGTTCAAACACAAAATGTATTTTTTTTATTACAAACTGTATTTATGATTACAAACCTGTTGAAGTTACCCTCTCTGCAGCTCATTCATGTTTGCTTACAGGCTCTGCTGGTATTTTATTGAATCCATTCCTTCTTCTTCTCCTGCTTCTGGTTGCAACATGCACCCAAAACCTGACCGAGCCAGTTTCCTCCTCTACGGATGCAGAGGTAATAATTTGAACAAATTTGGGTGTTTTGTTATTTTTTTCCTCCAACATACGTCTGATGAATAGGATCAAAGATTTGTAGCTTAATTACATGAGTCAAGAACACATTTCTAAAATGTTTAAACAGATTAGAAGTTCTTTGGCCTTTTATAAAAAAATGAATCAGCTCTTGGGTGCCATGGTTGGCCCGCTGGCCAGGGTGGCTGCCGGGGCCTGGCGGGCGGTCGGCTGGGGGTGCGTGCTTGGTTGTTGGCGGTGTGTGGGGGTGGTCGGTGGCGTGTCCTCTTCATGGTGGGGGGGGTGTCCTGTCGGCGGGGTATGGCCTGGGCCGGGTCTGGGGTATTGGCTCTTCTCCGCTCAAGAATGAATGGGTTTACCTCCTGGGTTTGGGCATGGGCTGCCCCCTGTAGAGGGCGGGTACATGTCTTGGACCTGGGGGGTATAGAGTGCGTATCGGGAATAAGAATGAAATGTATCGTTATTGTATGTCTTTGAGTGAGTGAATGTGAGATTGAGGTTGGGATTGTGTGATTGTGTCTGTGTATGAATGGGTATTTGTTAGGCCGAGACTCGGACTGCCCCCTCTTTGATACAACTGGGGGTGCTTGGCATCGCGCCCCTATCGCGCGGCCCCCTGGTGGGGTGTGCCCTTGCCTGCCGGCGCGCTTGGGGCCCTTGGTATCGGGGGCTGGGCGCTTGGGCGTGTGTCGGCTCGGCCTGGTGTCTGCCTGGTGGGGCTCGGGTCCTCTGGCCCTGTCGGGCCTTGGCCTGGGTGGTGTGGGTCCTCGGTGCCCGGGCCTCGGTGCCTGGACCTGGACCTACATCGGTGCGGCGGGTGCCGACGGAGGCCTATGAGTTTGTCGCTGTTGGCCCCGGGGGGTCACTGTATGTGGTTGCTGGTGGGGATCTTTCGGTTCTCCCCTGTGGTCCGTTCTGGGGGGTGGGTGAGTGGTTCGTCCTGTGTGGGTGGCTCTGGGGGCTCCGCGGTCGGGGTCCCTCCTGGGGTCTTGAGCTCTGGTCCCCCCTTTTTCGTCTGCCTCTGGTCTTGGGGGTCGGGTCTCTGCTGCTTCACAGTTACTAATAAATGTTCTATTAGAGAAGCCTTATACACTTATGCATGCTCACAACCACACACAAATAGAAGCAGGGATGCTTATGTAGGCTTTATATGTAGATATATAGATATGTATGTGAGTGTATATTCATGTCTATTTATGTATGTATGTATATAGGCGTAGGTGTGGGTATATATACTTATGGAAACTTACTGCAAAGCCATGAATATTTTAAGTTCTTTATACATATGTATTTTGTTGCTGTGTTTTGTCATGTTCTTTGCAGGTGAAAAGACAGTGGCTGGGTGTTTTGACGTGTGCTCTCTTTGTGTATATTTCTTATATTTTGGAGTCTTACTTTGTCTTTTCTTTCTTTCTATTCTATTAAAAAAAACAACAACAAAAAAAACAACACCTACACTAGATAGTCACTATAATAAATATTTCATAATAATGGTGTGGAGAGGATGGCTGTAAGGGGAGAAGGGAGGCCATCACAAGAAAAAAAAAAAAAAAAAATGAATCAGGAAGGATTCTCTTTTGATGATCCTTCTTGTGTATATCTCAGACGAGGAGGTGGTCTTTTCTTAATGTTTGATGTTGAACTTGATGCCTTTTAAAGACATGTTTTTGCAATCCAAGTTCAAATAATCATTTATTTAGCTGATGGAAATCAAGCTAAATCTACATCCAAACAAATCCTTAGAAGAGGCTCTAAATCCAGTTCTTCAAAGCACTTTCCAAGCTGTTTACATAGAAAATGCACAGAATTGAAAGTGGTTTTATTGAATTCATCTCTCCCAGCTGGTTAAATAACTGCTACTTGTCTGAAGTATGACCATATAAGAACGTTTTGAAATGTGTTGCTCCTAAGACTGCTATAGTGGACATTTTGCTAAAATCCCATTAAAATTCCTTTAGCTTCATTGGAGACTAAAATAATGGCATACTTTACCTGAGCCACAGCAGACACTTAAACATTTAAATGTCTATCGTTCCTTGAGGAGATGAATATCGCCCACCACCTTTCATTCCAAAGTTTCAGTCTAAGATCATTTTATGTCATGAAACGACGGAGTTGTCGTCGCTTTATCACATCTTTTAAAATAACAGTATGTCTGACTTCATGCCATAACACAAAATGTCTCAGCTATGACCACATCAAATGTTGACCCAAATTCTATAACACTGACTGAGTTACAGCCTTTTTTACGTGGAGTGAATTAAATTAGCAGTGGCGGTCATCTTGAATTAGGTTAATCTGCTATAGATGTACATTCAAAGTTTCTGCAAGTGTAATAAAATCATCTAGTTCATGAAATATTTTGCTAACAGACAAACAGGGTTGACTCCAACACCTAATAAAGTTTTAAGCAAAGATCTTACTAAATAAGTAACGCTTGACATCTGTGTTGGATATGAGCCTCAGCTACTACTCTGGGGTTCTGTGTTTTTGTTCTCCTCCACTCCCCCTGTGTGTCTCTTCCTTGTTCAGCTCTCATCACACCTGTCTGTGTTCTCATCACTCCAGATGTTTCTCATTCTGTCTCGTCAGTGTTCTATATAAAGTCAGCGTCTCTTCATTCCGCCTTTGTCCGTGGATTGTCCTCCTAAGGCTACATGTTCTGCTCCTCTGTCATCTCTCTGAAAGTAACACTTTGCTGCCTCGTCAGCATTTTGTTTTGTTTATTTAAATATAAACTCAAGTACTTATTTTACCTGGAGATCTCTCATCGCCTCCCTGCACGTGGGCTCTACATTTAAAACAGCAACATGATAACTGCGGCACCAAATTTTAGCTCAACATCTGTCAAACTGACCGAGTTAAAAGCACCAAGGCTGGTTGGCTTTATGAAGATTTTATTAAAATCCGCCCAGTGGTTCATGAGATATTTTGCTAACAGACACACCTTTTGGCAGCTGGTGATAATGATTTCTGCTAAATGTAAATTTACATTATCACCCTAATCTGATCTGGGGTGTAGCACAAACTATACATTACAGCTATTAAAGAGTTGTGACAAGATAAATATAGACAAACATTAATTCAGGGTTATTATACACCCAACTCAAATTAATACCCAAATCATGAAGGTTTTAAAATCTAAGTCCCATCCGCTGCCTGTTGCTCTTCAGCTCACAACTACAGCAAAGATATTTAATGAACACAGTCTTATTACTATTTTTTGACTTGAAAAGCTGATTGAAAACTAATTTTGATAAACAATATTCAAACTGTACCCAAAATGGAAGAAGCGGGTAAAGACAATGGATGGATGGATGGATGGATGGATGGGTTTTAGTACAAAGTACTTTAACAACACTAACTGAGCCCGCTGGTGAGTATAAGTGGCACCAGGGCTGTTCAGGTGATTGCCCGTGTCAGAACAGAGCAGCTGACAAATGTCTTTAGTATCGTTTGGACAACAAATGGTGTCTGAAGCACAAAGTGGAGACATGCACAAGGCTCAAAAGCAACACTTGTTAGAAAGATCAATGCGCTGCTGCTTTTGGCCTTTTCATGGGATTCATTGATCACTTCCTGCCTCCGTCTTGAATGTGAAACTCTTGAAATCAAAGTGTAAATGAGGCATTCGAGAAACTCGTGTGTAACTCCAGAAATCCCACATGTATCAGTGACGTAAAACACAGCAGCAGAAGTATTTCTGCAACAAGAGCGGTATGTAAGAATGGAAGTGTACAGGAGAGGACTTGACAGCGAAATAAAAATCATGTTTTCTTACTCTGGACAAATCTCCAACCTCCAGGTAGAAACAAATGATGAAAACGTTCCAGGTCATCCACACAACGAGCCAGGCTGCATACTGTAGGACAGACAAGACAGACGAGAGCAAGGGAAGTCAGACAAGATTTGACGAGCCTGTGTTGAAGAGTTCAAAAAAGAAAAAGAAAAGCAATGCTCATGTTTTGCTTTTGAAGCAAGCGAAATGGGGAAAAAAAGGGCAGAGGCTTCACTTTTGATGTTGTTAAAATGCAGCAAAAGAAAAACAACAGCGAAGAGTGTAACTAATCTCCTGAATCAAATCAGACAGGAAGAGACAATGGAATGGCAGAGCTCTGTGTGTGTGTGCGTGTGTGCGTGTGTGTGTGTGTGTGTGTGTGTGTGTGTGTGTGTGTGTGTGTGTG